GCAGTTTGGAGAGAAAAACTGCGCCCATGTTCCCAAAATATTGTTTATAAATGTTCTTTTACATTTAAAGGGGGAAATAATATAGGTATGAATAATTTGCATTGGTATGATTTTAAGGTCAATTTTGTTATATGTATATGTGTTTCTGATCTTGATTAAGGTATTGTGATTGTGTGGTTCATTTAAAATGTAATGTATAATAGGAAATATAGGTTGCTAATGGATAATTATCGATAATAGTCAAGTTTGTAGTCATGTTACTTAGATTTTCTAGATATATAGAGATATATTTCAGATAGGCATTCTTCATATCTCTCAAAGGCTGCAGAATATGGCATTTAAAATATTTTAATAACTTAGGACTTTTCATGACAATGAGACATGTCTGCTCCTGGGAGCACCAATCTACTTCGAGAGGAAGATGGGCATCGAAGAGGATCCTTATGGAGTTTGATAGCCATTTAGGCAAGAAACTGCTCTTGCCTGGACTGTTGCATAAAATGGACACAGAGAACCCTCAGAGAGAGGACTGCTGAACTTGCCTAAAGGTGAGACAGTCTTTTGGGGTTCATGACTCATGAAAGAGTCTGCGAGACATTCTGCAGGACACAGCAGATAGTGACTGAACTGTCTTTGAAATTGCCTGCTTGATGAAAATGTCTGCTGGATACTATGGGCCTGAAGGCTGAAGATGGATGCCCCAACAGTACAAAAGAACTTTGGGTGACTGTACAGGCAGCGAGATGTCTCTGTCATTTCTAGAGTTTTCTTATTTCTTGTTTACTTAGGTAGTATTATATCCTTCTGGAGTCTTTGATGGAGTTGAAGAATGAATAGGTAGTTATAGTTTTCCTTAGTTATGATAAAAGATAAAATAGATATAAATATTGTAACTGTAATTCTTGCTTGATAACTGTTTTGCTATATGTAATTTTGCTATGTTAAAGTTAAAGCCTTCCTTTTTTTGTTTAAACAGAAAAAGGGGAAGTGATGTGGGAGTGTCATATATCAATCTGTTGATTTCATTGGTTAAGCAATAAAGAAACTGCTTGGCCCTCATAGGTTAAAACATAGGTGGGAGGAGTAAACAGAACAGAATGCTGGGAGAAAGAAGCTAAGTCAGTGAGTCGCCATGATTCTCCCACTCCAGACAGATGCAGGTTAAGATCATTCCTGGTAAGTCAGCTCGTGGGCTACAGCAGATTATTAGAAATGGGCTAGTCCAGGTGCGAGAGCTAGCCTAGAAGAGGCTAGATAGAAATGGGCCAAGCGGTGTTTAAAAGAATACAGTTTCCATGTAATTATTTCAGGTAAAGCTAGCCTTGGGGGCGGCCGGGTGCCGGGGATGCAGCCCACCACTCCTATTTCAACAGGCCAGCTTCAGCTACAGGATACCCTAGCTCACCAAAATAAATAAATAAATCGGAAATTGAAGAAGGATAGAGAAGAGCTGTTTTAAAGGCTATGTAAGGAGTATTACTGCTGCATATAAAACAGATAGTATAACAATGACCTTTGTGCAGGGTGGTGGTGGTGCACACCTTTAATCAGCACTTGAGAGGCAGTGGCAGGTGGCTCGCTGAGTTTGAGGCCAGCCTGGTCTACAGAGCGAGTTCCAGGACAGCCAGGGCTACACAGAGAAACCCTTTAGAAGGAAACAAGACAAACAAACAAACAAACAAAAACAATGACCTCTGCAGGTTGAGTCTTTTAGAGGGAAATGAGTTTTTTGTTTTTTATTTTTTGCCCCCCCTCCCCCCCAGGCAGTGTTTCTCTATAGCTTTGGAGTCTGTCCTTGGTTGTACTCTGTAGACCAAGGTGGCCCTGAACTCACAGAGATTTGCCTGAGGACGCCTCCCAGGTGTTGGGATTAAAGGCATGCGCCATCACAACCCAGTTCCAAGTTAGTCTCAATGTGAGATCATCTAGCAGAATAACTTGCCATGTGGCAGGCACAATGGTTCTTATAATATGATTTCAAAAGTTACCATTAGATTTGTGAATGTACTGTGCACACATGGAGGAGATGACCTGCATTTGAAGACCAAATAGATATTGAAAATGTTAATATTGTTATGAGCATCCTGTTCTATGACTATCTTCTTGCCTCTTGCTGAGAAAGGGACACAAGCCACTAGCTAGGGTGGTCACTTCTTCAGGGTTCTGAGTTGACCTGGAAGAAAAGAGATATTCAGCTTTGTAGAGAGTCCTGCATGGAGCTGGGGTGAAGAGAAAGCCATGGACAGAGGCTGTGTTGGAGAAAGAGGAGCTGATGACTCAATCACAGACACGGGTGCCTACAGACAGCTCTTCATCCTTCACTGTGAGAAAGGTTGAATATAATTATAGTGGCTTCTTTTATTGTTTTATTAATAAACAAAGCTTGGAGTCAGATATTAAAGTATAAAGATGATTTGTCCACAAGACAAATCCCTCCCAGGGACAAAGGGCCAGCGAATCTTTCCAAGCCTCTCTTTCTTCCTCTCTGTGTCGTCATCTGAGTTCGCCAGAAAACTCTATAATTTATTCAGGGCAGCTGAACGTGGACTCCACCCACTGAATCAAGGTTTAACTCCACCTGCTGTCTCACAGCAACAGTACGAACACATCCCCAGCAACATTTCCCCCTTTGGTCTAAATAAAAAGGAAACATTTTAACTCTAACATGGTAAAACTATAAACAGTAAGAACAATTATCAGGTAAGAATTACATTCACAATGTCCAGTCCATTTGTATTAGGCAAATTCAGAGAAAATTTCGTTTATTTATCTTCTCTTAGTAAGGACAAAGTTTTATATCTAATTCACTTTCTATCATAACTTGTATTACCAACCTAGAAATATCTTTTTAGATCTAAAAACATTTCCTTAGATAAACAACTTAAATTTTATGTCTCTCAACCTTCTACATTTTACATCTCTTTTGTGAGTTTCTTTTCTGAACTTGGTAACAAGAAAACTGTAACTTTAATTATCTGGTCTTAATCCCTATCAGCCATCTGAGAAGGATATAATATTACTTGAGTAAACAGGAAGTACAGAGCAGAGAACTTCTAAAGGTTCAGAAAGAGACATCTGGCTGCCTGGACAGTCACTAAGTTTTCTCTGTAATATTGGGGCATCTATCTTCAGCCTACATGCCTAGAATATCTGACAGTTTGTGAAGCAGAAATTTTGAAAGACTCGCTTACCTTGGCTTGGTAAAGTTCAGCAGTCGCTTTCTTTTAAGTCCTGCTTGCCCAATTTTGACATATACTACCAGCAGTCAAGGCAAGGGTGGTTTATTGCTCAGTGGCTAACTTTGCACAATAAAAGCAATTCCAAATGGAGGTTCTTTGGTAGCCACCATCCGTTTTGAAGTAAATTGATGCTTCCAGGAGCAGATGTGTCTCACTGTCGTGAAAATCCTTATGTTATTAGAACATCTTAAATGCCACATTCTGTAGTTCTTTGAAGTGTTTAAAGACAATCACGTATCTATCTAAACTATATCTCTGTTTGGCCTAAAACTAACATACCAAACATGGCCACAAATTTGATTGCTATAGATGACTACTAATCTTCTCCATGTTGATATCCAGTTATGCCAGCACCACTTGTTAAATATGCTTTCTTTTTTCCATTTGTTCTTATGCCAATACCAGGCTGTTTTCATTATTGTAGCTCTGTAGTAGAGTTTGAAGTCAGGGATAGTGATGCCTCCAGAAGTTCCTTTATTGTACTGGATTGTTTTGGCTATCCTGGGTTTTTTGCTTTTCCATATGAAGTTGAATACTGTTCTTTCGCGGTCTTTGAAGAATTTTTCTGGGATTTTGATGGGCATTGCGTTGAATCTGTTATAATTATTTTTTAATTGGTTGTTATTGTGCCTACTTTCTAAACTTCATTTTCCCCAAATCCACAACTTCTGCTCCCAGTTTAACAAGTTCTATCACTTTTCTCTCATTTGATACCACAACCATATTCTTTATTTTGTATGTGTGTAGCCCTGGCTGGCCTGGAGCTCTCTCTGTTAACCAGGCTGGTCTTGAACTCACAGATATCCTCCTGGGACTAAAATGCTACCCATGCTACCCATGCAGACATATTTCTTTTCTTTTAAATATGTATACAGTGTTCTTCCTACATGACAGAAGGGGGCACCAGATATCATTATAGGTGGTTGTGAGCCACCATGTGGTTTGTGGGAATCAAACTCAGGACCTCTGAAAGAACAGACAATGCTCTTAACCTCTGAGCCATCTCTCAGCCCCATGGTCTTTTCTTTTAAACTCTCTTTTGACTTTTTTTTCTTCTGGCTTCACTAGCATCACTAACTGCTATGCCGGGCTGGAGAGATGGCTCAGAGATTAAGAGCATGGGCTGCTCTTCCAGGGGTCCTGAGTTCAATTCCCAGCAGCCACCTATAATTAGATTTGGTGCCCTCTTCTGGCATTTAGGCATACATGTAGGCAGAAGACTGTATACATAACAAATAAGGAGGGAGGGAGGGAGGGAGGGGGAGAGAACATGATGCCTCAGAAAGAGGGAGGGAGGGAGGGAGAGAGAGAGAGAGAGAGAGAGAGAGAGAGAGAGAGAGAACATGATGCCTCAGAAAGAGGGAGGGAGGGAGGAAGGGAGGAAGGAAGGAAGGAAGGAAGGAAGGAAGGAAGGAAGACGGTGCCTTAGAAGAGGGACGCGAAGTTAAAGCCGAGCATTCGAATGGAGAACTCCGAAGTGGGTGCAGATCGCTACTTTCTGAAACTTGGGAGAAAGAGAAAAGGTTGCATTGCCCCAGTCCTTTATCGCCTTCAATTCTTTCTCTCACGCTTTGGACGGCTATAGGTACTCAAGACAAAGTTGGCGTTCCCGGGGGCTGTCTCGACTGGTTTGTGACGCGACACGTTGGGCGCTTCTTCCGACGTCTCCCAAACGGACCAAAATGCACTCGAGTGCTAGGCGGAACCCTAGCGCCTGGCAGAGGTTGCCGCTCGGCTCCAGCAGCGTGTGCGCGTGCGCATTGGCGCTTCCGGCGCTGCGGGGAGGGCCGGCGAGGACCGTCAGATTGCTTAGTCGTGCAGTCCTGCGTCCCGGAGCGGCGATCTCTGGCGATCTCCGCGAGATTCCCTCTGAATCCTCAATAGTCTGCCCGCTCCCGGCTTGCATCGCTAGAGAGGTCCCGGGTTAGGTAGATTTCCCTGCAGATCCTGTGCTGTTAAACCCTGGGAGCCCAAACTAAAATAAAAACAATGAAGAAGTTGAAGCTTAAGGAACTAGAGAGTCGCCTGCAGGAAGTGGATGGATTCGAAAATCCCAAATTACTTCTAGAACAGTACCCCACCAGGCCGCACATTGCAGGTAGGGCAGCTGGTTCATCGGGCTCTCTTCTGGGGTTATTCCTGTCCAGTCCATGATGAAAATTAGTGATTTGGATCTAATGATGTTCTAGAGAAACCTCACACCTTTGAGTAGGTGCTGCTCTACTAAAAACCAGAGTTACATACAAGCTTGTGTAAAGTTGAGGATGCGTTTTCATTTTTCACAGATTGCCTCTTGCTTGATGCCAAAGATTGATACTAAGAGTGTAGAAGAGAATACAGGAGAATCCATTCATATGTAGCACCTGTTACGTAGTAGCAGGGAAGAAAGCAAAATTTCTTTGGTTGGGAGTACCTGCAAGGGGTAATCTTTTTCAATTCCAAAGTAGCAATTTGTGAGCTGCCAATAAAACTCGTGGAGAATACATGTGTTTAACCCTAAAATATTGTCATAGCTGCAACCAAAGATTTGCATTAAACTGTGTTCAGATTAAGACCAGTTTTCTCTATTATATATTTAGTGTGTGTATGTTCATGTGTCTGTGAGTGTGGAGGGCAGAGTTCAACATGGGGTGTTTTCCTCAGGTGCTCTCCGTAAGTTTTTTGAGTCGGGGCCATACTGTACTAAGAGTTTACCCATTCGCCTAAAAAGGCTGACCAGCAAGCCTCAGAGATCGTCCTGTCTTGTCTCCAGCGCTGGGTTTATAATCATGCAACACCGCACCTGGCCTTTTACATGACTGCTGCAGATCTGAACTCAGGTCCTAATGCTTGCAGAGTAAGTGCTGTACAGACTGAGCTAGTCACCTACCAAGCAAGCCCCTGGCTTTCTCAGTGTAACTTCTTACAGCCTTCTGGTTGTAGGGTTTTGTCATGAAATCTAATTTTTCCCCCGAGACAGGGTTTCCCTGTAGCTTTGGAGTCTGTCCTAGAACTCACCAAGTAGACCAGGCTGGCCTTGAATTCACAGAGATCCACACTTCTGTCTCCTGAGTGCTAGGATCAAAGGTGTGTACCCCGCCACTTTTTTTTTTTTTAATTTTATTTATTTTTTTTAGAGATAGGGTTTCTCTGTGTAACAATCAACAGCTCTGGCTGTCCTGGAACTAGCTCTTGTACACCAGGCTGTCCTCGAACTCAGAGATCCACCTGCCTCTGCCTCTCTAGTGCTGAGATTAAAGGTATAGGGTGTGTGCCACCACTGCCCGGTGAAATCTAATTTTAAGAGGCCAGGTATGGTGAAACATACAATAATCCCAGCACTTGGGAGTCAGAGGCAGGTAGATCTCTGTGAGTTCAAGACCAGGCAGGCCAGCTAGGGTTATGTAATGAGACTTTGTCTCAGAGTAAATAAATATCAGTTCTTTCACACCTAGTTTGTAATGCACAAGATAGGAGTTTCAAAATACCTGCAACAGTAATCAAGTGCCTCATAGTTGGTTTTAATTCTTCTTTTTTGGTTCTGGGAGCGGTGGCTAGTTTTGAAGATCAGCCTGGTCTACAGATCACAAAAGATCCGCTTGCCTCTGCCTCCCAAGTCCTGGGATTAAAGGCGTGTATCACCACCATCCGGTATATGTTTTAAATAAATGTCTGGATCCTCAGATATTAGCCCTTGAGTTCTGATATACACAAGGAAACACTGATGTTTAATTTACTGTACTTTTGAGAGTATTGTTTTTGAGAACTCTATATAATCTCAACTACTTCTGCCCTGACCATTTATTTGTTCTGTTATCAGGTCTGTTATAGATTATGAGTATGTGCATCTATTGATATTACCTCTAAGTTCAGGTGGAGAGATAGCTCAGCAGTTAGGAGCCCTACCTGCTCTTCTAGAGAACCTGGATTCAATTCAGCACCCACATGGCAGCTCATAACTGTCTGTAACTCCAATCCCAGGAGGTTGCCAGTATCCTCTGGCCTCTCTGGGCACCAGACACCTGGTGCACATCCATGCAGGCCAAACAACAACAAATTAAAAAAAAAATCTCTTAAGTCTATATTGTGGATGTAGAAGTTTGAGATGCCTATATTCTTGTGATAAACATACTACAAATAAGTTCTGTGTCCTCTGTTTATTGGGGGGTTGCCCTCAATCAGGTCCGAGGAGAACTTCTGGCAGTTGGTCATTTACTTCCATCTACCAGGTGGATCTTGGAGACTGGATTTGGGTTGTTAGGCTTCACAGCAAGTACTTTTGCTCACTGAGAGCCATGTTGCCAGCCCCAAATCAATAAAATTCAAAATAGTTTTGAAGACATAATACAGGGTTACTAAACTTATTTTGACCAAAAATGATAGACTTAATCATTCATAAAACTTAATATTTCATAAAAATATCTCAGCATCAAAGGAAAAACTGCCTCTGTGTAGAGCAGATATTTTGAACATTTCAGTCTTGGCATTGTCAGCAGAAGCTTGACATAGTCCTATAGTATTTGGGAATCACTGGTGAATATTACCTTCCTTTGTGATGCTTCTTCCTAAATAACAAATTATTACATTGTATCTTTAAGTATCAAACAATCTGGAGCTATATGTTGGGGAAAGACAGATTACTTTAGAGCCATTTGCATTAGATTTTAGTAGTAAACTTGTTTATTCCCTAATGTTCTATTTATTTTTTATTGTTTTTAGCATGCATGCTATATACAATCCATAATACATTTGATGACATTGAAAGTAAAGTGGTTGCAGACCTAGGATGTGGTTGTGGAGTACTTAGCATCGGGGCTGCAATGTTAGGGGCAGGGTAAGTGATCATTTCTTGTTATTTGGATATGGTGTGGCTTCAGTAAATGTATATAGGATCAACTGTACTATATATTCATAGGACCCAGGTAAGATGAGGGGAGCAATAATTTGATACTGAGTACATTTTGAGTAGGCTAAAGATCAAAACTTTACTTTTTTTTTTAAAATATTTTTTATTTATTTATTATGTATACAATATTCTGTGTGTATGCCTTCAGGCCAGATGAGGGCACCAGACCTCATTACAGATGGTTGTGAGCCACCATGTGGTTGCTGGGAATTGAACTCAGGACCTCTGGAATAGCAGGCAATGCTCTTAACCGCTGAGCCATCTCTCCAGCCCCAAAACTTTAAAGAAAGATATCAAGCCGGGCGATGGTGGCGCACGCCTTTAATCCCAGCACTCGGGAGGCAGAGGCAGGCGGATCTCTGTGAGTTCGAGACCAGCCTGGTCTACAGAGCTAGTTCCAGGACAGGCTCCAAAGCCACAGGGAAACCCTATCTCGAAAAACAAAACAAAACAAACAAAAAAAAAAAAAGACATCAAGTCAGATGGTAGTGGTGCAGGTATTTAATCCCAGTACTTGGGATGCAGAGATATGCGGATCTCTGTGAGTTTGAGCAGCCTGATCTACAGAGTGAGTTTCAGGACAGCCAGGACTACACAGAGAAACCGTGTTCAAAAAACAAAACAAAACCCATTTTGTTAATTGGGTTGAAAACCGCATGGTAAAATAAGTACTGTTTTTTTTTTTTTTTTTAAACTAGGAACCTGTAAATTGTCTTTTTTTTTTTTTTTTTATAGGTTGTGTGTTGGATTTGACATAGACGAAGATGCCCTGGAAATATTTACTAGGAATGTGGAAGAGTTTGAGTTAACAAACGTTGATATGATTCAGTGTGATGTGTGCTCATTATGTAACAAAATGCCCAAAGTATTTGATACAGTAATTATGAATCCTCCCTTTGGAACCAAAAATAATAAAGGTTAGTAATAAAAGTAGAATATATTTGCATATTTATAGAGTAGTGATCTGGGTTGTTATTTTTATTACTGTTTATTAAATTAACCAATAACTTTATACTTTTGAAAATTCACGTTTGATGTTCAATTGGAAAATTTCATCTTTATTTTCAAATTTGTGTTAATGTATTCTTTTCTTTTCTTTTTTGTTTTGGTTTTTCAAGACAAAGTTTCTCTGTGGCTTTAGAGTCTGTCCTGGAACTAGCTCTTGTAGACCAGGCTGGCCTCGAACTCACAGAGATCCGCCTACCTCTAAAATGAGTTTTCTTGGGCTGGAGAGATGGCTCAGAGGGTAAGAGCACTGGCTGCTCTTCCAGAGGTCCTGAGTTCAATTCCCAGCAACCACATGGTGGCTCACAACCATCTGTAATGAGATCTGGTGCCCTCTTCTAGCTTGCAGGCATACACACAGACAGAATGTTGTATATATAATAAATAAATCTTTAAAAAAAATAAATAAATAAAATGAGTTTTCTTTTCTTTTTTTTTTTTTTTTTTTTGGTTTTTCGAGACAGGGTTTCTCTGTAGCTTTGGAGCCTGTCCTGGAACTCCCTTTGTAGACCAGGCTGGCCTCGAACTCACAGAGATCCTCCTGCCTCTGCCTCCCAAGTGCTGGGATTAAAGGCGTGCGCCACCACCGCCCGGCTTTCTTTTTTTCTTTTTTTTTTTTTTGGTTTGTTAATGTATTCTTATTTCTGATTAATAACTAGAAGATTTGACTAGGCCCCATGCTTATAAAACTTTAAAAACATTTTCATCCTTTTGGAAACTGGATTATTCTTTTGTTGTTGTTGTTGGGACCGCAGGGACTAAAACGGGGCTCTCACACATGCTATCACCAGCGGAACACTCAGCTTCTAAAACTTGTTATTAATGCCTGTGGGCTTCAAAGCATGCACACAGGGACTTGCTGTGGTTATTTTAGTGTATACTGTGGCAGGCCAGAAGCTGAAGTTAAAGCACACACCACCATTAGACCACCGCCTCCATTCTTGCCTGCCACTTAGAATATTAAAATTTACATTAATCCTATTTTTTTCTAGCCAAACAGCCTAACTTTGGTTTCATTAGACTTTATTTTAAAGATTTGAGACATCTTACTATGTAGCTCTGACTTTCCTGAAACTGCATAGACTGGCTTCAAATTCCCTCCTCTGCCTTTTGAGTCCTTGGAATTGAAGGTGTGTGCCACCACGCCCAGCTTAAGATTTTATTTATTTTGGGGTATAGGTATTTCGCCTGTGTGTCTCTGTGCCACACTGTGCAGTGCCCAAAAAGGCAAGGACACTGGGCCTCTGGAATTGGAGTTAGTTATGAGTCACCCTGTGGTGCGGGGACTCGAACTTGGGTCCTCTGGAAGAGCAGCACCGAGCTGTCTCTGCAGCCCATAGGTGTTTTGTACGCCTTTTGAAGAAATAAATATGAAAGTAGATATTTTACAATTTGGAAAGAATACTACTATTTTAATCATTTATTCTACTCTACTAGTAATATAAATAAGTTTTTTTTTTTTTTTTACTCTTCACAGGTACAGACATGGCTTTTCTGAAGACTGCTTTGGGAATGGCAAGAACAGCAGTATATTCTTTACACAAATCCTCAACTAGAGAGGTAAGCTTAAGTCATAACAGTATTGTTACTTTTAGCCAGGTAATGGTAGCACACACCTTTAATCACAATACTTGGAAAGCAGAGGCAGGCAAATCTCTGAGTTCCAGACAGCCAGGGCTACACAAAATAAAAAACCGTATCTCAAAAAACCACAATATATATGTGTGTGAATATATTTTAAGATTTTGGGGTTTTTTTCGTTTTGTTTTTTAAGACAGCGTGTCTCTGTGTAACAGTCATGACTGCCCTGGAAGTAGCTCTTGTAGACCAGTCTGGCCTCGAGCTCACAGAGATCCCCTGCCTCTGCCTCCCAAGTGTTGGAATTAAAGGTCTGCACCACCATTGACCAACTGTTTTTTGAAATGAAATTTATGCCCGGGCAATGCTGAAGCATGCATGGGCAGCCCATGTAGATAGCTCTGCTGAATCTGTCCATATTGGGTTTCATGGTCTAAGTTGCTGAGGATGACTGACCAGGTCTCTTCCTCAGAGAGCCCAGATTCAATTCCTAGCACCCATATGATGGCTCTCAACCACCCACAACTCCAGTTCCAGGGAATCTGCTTTCTTTTGATCTAGAGCACCAAGAATACACATGCAGCAGACATACACAAGGGCAAAAGACTAAAATCACTAAACCAAAAACAAAAAAATATTACCAACAGGCAAACAATCTCGATAATCCTGCACTGACATTCTCTTCCGAGGGATTTTAGAGTGTATCAAACTGACAATGAAAATCAACCATCATTGGGTGGGAGACATGACTGTGACTTGTTTAGTACTTGCTACATTTGCAGAGAATCTGAGTTCAGCTCACAGCAGTCTATACTTCACCTCCAGGGAATCTGATGCCTCTAAATACACCTGCACTCAACGTTCATATATCCACACACACCCAAATACCTAAAAATTGTGAAGGGGCTAGAGAGATGGGTTCATGGTTAATAGCACCAACCAGTAGCACTGGTTGGTGCTATTAACCATGAACAGGAGGACCTGTGTTCAGTTCCCACATAATGTATCTGCTGCTGAATAGGAACACTGTTTAAAACACTTCATTCTGATCAGATAACACTGTTCAACAGAGTCTGGCAGTGGTGGTGTGCGCCTTTAATCCCAGCACTTGGGAGGCAGAGGCAAGTGGATCTCTGTGAGTTCAAGGCCAGCCTGGTCTACAAGAGCTAGTTCCAGGACAGGAACCAAAAACTACAGAGACACTTTGTCTCGAAAAAAACAAAACAAAAAACATTGTACAACAGAAGAGAAAAATGAGGTAAGTCCAGAATGAATACTTTAGCTAGGGCTACTTTAGTTAGGTACTAAGTAGTAGGACTGAAATTCCACAGGCTGTGGCTCCAGACTATGCTTTTCTCTTCTACCCTGCAACTAAATGGCATGCTGACCCAGAACTGCTATTCACTAATGAAATCAAGCTACACTGTGTATGTAATGGATTTTGATGGATTTTTCATTTTTTAATTACATAATTTGGTTCAGATGCTAAGTAGCGAGGACACTTTGTTCCTAGCTTTTAAAAGTGTACATATAATTAAAATTTGTGAGTCTAATTTTATTGAAAATTTTAATGTTCAACATTAGCAGATCAGATCTAAACATCAACTCATATGAAAATATTATTTGTCTTTAGCATATTCAAAAGAAAGCTGCAGAATGGAAAGTCAAGATAGAAATTATTGCAGGTAAGCTTTATCTCAACGTTAACTGTTTATGTCAAGACAGGGTTTCTCTCTGTTGATCAGGCTGTCCTGGAACTCAGATCTATCCGTCTCCCTAGTGCTGGTACTAAAGGTGTGAGCCACCACCTGGCTACAATCTTATTTAAAAGGCCAATAGGCCAGCCTAATTTATTTATTGGAGACAGGGTTTCTCTGTAGCTTTGTAGTCTGTCCTGCAACTCACTCTGTAGCCTAAATTTTTAAAGTACTAAAAAAATTATTATGGAGTGTTACCCAATTCAGGAGTAGGTTGGAAATGCACTAAGCACAGAGTAAACATTTACAAAGATCTGCCTGTGCCTGTCCCTATTTATGCATTTTCTAAACAAAAAATTAATGGTACCTAAGTATTCAGTCATCTATGCCCTGACAGAAGACTGCTATCATCAGTGAGTGAAAACATGGGCCTGGACATGGTAGGACTGCTGTTAAGTCCACTACCTGTAAATGCCAGTAATATATGATTGATACTTAGCTCAACACCAACCTTTCCTTTTCTGGTGAGAGACAGAATATAAAAATCCACAATATAAGAAGAGATGCCTTTTTTTTTTTTACTAAGTTAAGTTTGCCCACAACACAACAGGAAAACCATTAGAAAGCAGAAGTCATCCAGTAATTTTGAGACACTTGAAATAAATAAAGACTGGTGTGTGGTAGTGTGCTTCCTTAGCACACACAAGAGAAAACGGGAGAAATTAAATGTGCAATAAAAGGAACATCTTTATTTGTTTGGAAGCATGGTTTCTCTGCGTTTTTCTTTCTCTCTCTCCTCCCCTAACTACCTCTGACTGTCAGAGAACTCACAAGGCCTACTGGACTAGGCATTTGTCTGCCTGATTCCCAGTCCTGAGATGAAATGCACATGCCATTATGTCTAGCATGAGTTTACCACGAATTGGTCCTATGATGTTAAAGGATCTACCTAAGTTGTTCATAAAGACTTGTCTGTCTTCCTATTAAGTGTTGTCACAGAACTCAATACAGAGCACTTTATATTAGTCCTAGTTGTATACTAATCCAGACCTTTAGTGGTCTTCACATTATCAGCTTTAACAACCTTGGAGCCTACACAAACAGAACAAGATTCCCAGATGACTTGGTCACACATTATAGAGAGCTATGGCATGTATTGGAAATTACAAAAGATACCACTGGCCAATGGTGAAAGTATAGAGAATTTACGTTATAAATTAGAAAGGGCTGGAGTAGTAGTGGTACACGCTTTAATCTCAGCACTTAGGAGGAGGCAGAGGCAGATGGATCTCTGTTGAGTTCAAGGCCAGCTTGGTCTATGAGGCAAGTTCCAGGACAGCTAGGACTGTTATACAGAGAAACCCTGTTTCAAAAATCAAAAATAAATTGGGAAGGAATGTGAAAAATGGACCTTCATTTTGTTAGTAGAAAAAATAACTAGGACTATCCATTATTAAAACATGGATAGGCAATTTTTGAAGCATGAATATCATATTGTCAGCTATAGATACATCTGATTTTCACAGAACTTTTCCCCCATGCTTGTGAATTCTTTTAACTATTCTCCATAACCTCAAATTTTGACATGTGATCAAAACAGCAGAAACACTCTGCATAACTTGGCATGTAAGTATTCAAAAGGGTATGTCCAAAGTGATGGATGTAAAACATTAATGCACACCAGCATCTAATACTTTCAAGGTGAATGTTTGCCTTGTTTTACAGAGCTTCGATATGACCTGCCAGCATTATACAACTTTCATAAAAAGAAATCAGTAAGTTTCCCAATTTTGAATACGTTCAGCATTCAAAAGCTTTGCAATATTACTTTCCACTCACAGCAAGTTGCATGGGTAAATAGAAAGCCAGCCTGAGAGACTGGACAAATTAACTGTTGTCTAAGCAGTCAACATTCTAGTAAATTCTTTGTGAAAAAATTTAAGAGAAAAAAAAAGAAAAAAGTAAACAGTTGGCTATTTTTATACAGCATATATTTTACAAGTTTGTACTAATACATTCTCATATTACAAAGGCAATTAAGAGGAAGAATCTTCCTTTTCATATTTGAATCATCCAAACACAAACAGAACTATACATTTTAAAAAACTTTCATTTGGGTAACAACAACAAAAAAAAGACAAGAAAAACAAATTCTTTTCCTTTTATACAGGTGGACATTGAAGTGGACCTAATTCGCTTTTCTTTTTAAAAGCTTCTGAAGACAAAAAGCAGCTTAAAATCTAACTAAGATGAATAAAAACACTGCTTACTAAACTACTTGTCTCTAGCGCCGTTCTCTCTCTTCTTATGCTTTGATGCAGGCTCTTCTCTGTCTCTTCCGTCTCTTGCTCTTTTCATTGGTCCTATATAAACACAAAGAACTCATTTAATTCAATGTAAGCACTTGCTCTTAATATTGGCTACAATTACTAATAGCTTCCTTTAAAAAAATTAGCAACTTCTTAGAGAGGAAGAAAAGGCTTTTTCTTGAGTACAGACTTTCTGACCTTTATAGTTATCTTTTAGCCAACCTCTCAATTGTGCAATAGCACAAAGGACGAAGATGGCACTCAATGAAAACTATCACTCACACAGAGAGATAGTGTTTTATCAAGTACAGACATCATACCCAGGACTTGAGACTTGCCTGATCCACGTCGATGATGGTGATGGTAGTCATCATCATCGAATCTTGTTCTCCTGCCATGAAACTGTCCTCTTCCTTTGGGTCCCCCAGCATAAGGAGGTCTGTTTCCCCTTCCTTTTCCTTTAAATCTGCGGCCTGTAGAAACATGATTGAGAAGTTAGTCAATTTTAAGTGTGTTTGAAAACTAAAAGATTTTTCTCAAGCACAGATGAGGTAAAATAACCAATTATTAATAAAAAATTAAATAATGACCTCCTCCTTTTGACTTCCATTTGTTTAGTGATTCTTGCTGATCATCCATGATTTTTTTCATCGCATCTTTTTCCGCATGTCCTTCTAATACTTTCCAAGTCACCTTTTTGTTCCTTAATTGTAGGTTACCATTATTTGCACTCCTGGCTTTCTCAAGTGCTTCCTTAGCTTTCTCTTTAAAGAGAATTATTCCCTACACAAAGAGGAAAAAAAAGTGAATGTTCCACTCTTCAGTTTGTAGTCAGACAAATTTCTTTCCTCAAAGCTATTTCCCAGACCCAGCATATCTATTTCTGCTATTTTCAATGCGTCTTACTGAATATTAGGAAGGAATGCTTTAAAAGTAAACTCCAGTCAAGTCCAAGTTTATATGCCCCCTTCCTCCACCCAAAAGAATCTTTTTTTTCCCCTGGTTCATCATGCCTTTTCGTGACATGTGCCTCCTATTAACCTTGTTGTAAGGTCAGCACATTACCCATCTGACATGGAAAAAAAGATACCACACCTGGTAAAAAGACTTAAAGATAAAAGTAAATGGCTAAGTAGAAACTATTTTAATTAACATGTTTTATAAATTACTTTCTCATTAAATATTTTTTTAAAAAGACTGCTTCCTAGTAATTATTTTCTTCTAAGAGATAACATTCTATAGACTTTTAAACGAATTGCTAGTAAGGATAGAGATGTTCACAAACCTCTTTTGCTCCTCTGACAAAGTCAATCCATTTTATTTCACCGTGATTTGAGAAAAGGATGTGTAAATCTTCTCTACAGGTCTGGTCATCCAAGTCACCTGAAAACTTCAGTAAGCACCCCATCCTTCCTTCTAGAGGTCGCTATGAAAACAATACAAGGCCATCAAAAGGTTTCCTTGAGAGCAACCTAACCAAAATGACTCACATCATTCTATACCTACATAAGGAAAAGAGATGTCAGTGCTATTTTAATGCGGTTTAACTGTATTTTTCTCTGCTCTCCTGTTTTATTAATGGCTTTATTTTATTTAGTTTCTTCTATAGGTAAGTTATAACTATCTGCTGATAAGCAATGATCTCAGACAATATTATCTGTATATCACTGATGCAATGACACTGGTAGAACCACTTAGACATCCTCTAAGAAGTCCTCAAACATGGCTAGAGGCCTAAGTGGTCTATCTGGTATGGGTACCATGGGGACTGCGGGTCCATTCCCAACATCTCCTCCCATCCCCCTACCACACACATAAAAGTTCTCATACTCTAAAAACTCATTCTAGGGGGCTGGAGAAGGAACACAGGGGTTAAGAGCACTTCCCACTCCTCCAGTCTACCCAAGTTCAGTTACCAGGTCAGATGGTTCACAATCACCTATAACTCCAGCAACCTTTTCTGTCCACCCCAGGAACCTGCACACATACAGCAAACATTCTCAAATACACACAAATAAAAAACAGCCTTAAAAAGTATTCTCAGAGGAGGAGCCAGAGGGACTTGAGTTCAGTTCCTCACACCCACACTGTACTGCTCATATATGTAACTCTAACTTTTGAGAACTGGACACCCTCTTCTAGCACCCAAGGGTACCTTACACACACAAAGTTACATATATGGTTCATCAGGTCTCACAGAGACTGAACCAACAACCAGAGAGCCTGCATGGGAATGACCTAGGCACTCTGCATATATCTTACTGTTGTGTAGCTTGGTCCTCTTGTGGGACTCCTAACAGTGACAACAAGATTGTCTTGGATTCTTTTACAGGACTTTGGGACCATACTCATACTGGGTCGCTTTGACCAACCTTAATACATGGGGAGATGCTTAATTTTACTGCAACTTGATATGCTGTGTTTTGCTGATATTCATGGGACACTTGCCCTTTCCTAAATAGAAACAAAGGAATTGATTGGGAAGTAGGAACACAGGGGTCATATGGGGAGGGACTGGGAGGAGAGGAGGGAGGAGAAACTGCAGATGGGATGTAAAATAAATAAAATGGGAAAAAATACTTAAACAAGTTGTTTTAGCAGAGTACGGTAGTGCATGTCTTTAATCCCAGCAATTGGGAGGCAGAAACAGGTGACTGTCTCCAAATTTGCGAACTAAAACTGGTCAACAAAGTCATTTCTGGGTCAGCCAGACTAACATGGTAAGGATTTATCTCTAGATAAATAAAATATAAGGGACCAGCAAATAAAGGTGTTTGCTGCCAAGCCTAACAACCTGGGTACAATCCCTGGGATCCATATAGGGGAAGGAAAGAACTGACAAGCTGTCCTCTGACCTCCACACAACTACAGACAGACAGACAGCAACTTCAAAAAGACAGTCTAACTTAAATTCTCATGTATTAGGTATCAATACTTACTGTTTCAGCATTTCCTGACTTGTGTCTTCCTTCATGTTCTCTAAAAATAAATGTGTTGTAATTATAATATGTTTAAGCTTAACGAAGTAAAAATTCTAATAACCCCAATCATCATTACCACAAACCAATTAATCATCAAAGCAAGTCCTCAGACTTTTTTCATCATACAACACCAGCAATAGATAGCTTCTAGGTTATCAAGATCTTTTTTTTTTTTTTTTTTTTTTTTTAATTTTAGAGACAGGTTTCTCAGTAGCTACAGAGCCAGTCCTGGAACTAGCTCTGTAGACCAGGCTGGCCTCAAACTCACAGAGACCCGCCAGCCTCTGTCTTCTGAGTATTGGAATTAAAGGAGTATGCCACCATGGCCTGACTAAAATGTAACTTTTTCTTTTTTCCTTTGGTTTCTCTGTAGCTTCCTAGAACTCATAGAGATCCACCTATCTCTGCCTCTCTGGTGTTGAGATTAAAGGAGTGCGCCAAGGTATTTTAAGACTAACATTTCACTACCAATAAAGACAAACCCATTACCACTCATTTCAAAGCTCATCATCAGCTTACCCAGAACCACTAGCTAAACTTGTCAAAGCATTAAGAAATTCAAATGTGTCACATGAATTAAATACTTACTGTTTAGCTTTTAATTTAGCTTCCACTTTGCTCTGCTTTCTTTCTTCATTTTTCTTTGCAAAGTAATCTTCCCTGAAAAACACAAAACACAGACTAAGCTCACAAAGACAAAGACAAAAAATTACTTTTTGTTCATTTTTTTTCCCCAAACCACAGTTTCTCTGTGTAGCCCTGGCTTTCCTGGAACCCACTCTGTAGACCAGACTGGCCTTGAACTCAAGAGATCTGCCTGCTTCTGCCCCTCAAGGGCTGGGATTAAAGGCGTGTGCCAAGCCCAGCTGAAAATTACTTTGAGTACTTGAAACCCTAGCTCCACAAAGACTATCATACATTTTTTTTTTTGCATGTGATTTTTAAGTCAGGGTCTCACTGTTTATCACACACTGGTTGGGAATTTCCATGCAGCCCAGGGCTCAAACAAACAATCCTCCTGCCTGAGCCTCTACAGAGATGGGAATACAGATGTGTACTACCACACCCAGCAGTTACACACATTTTCTGTCATCTAATCACCTAAAAACTCATATGCTGCAGAGGTCATGCACATGCATTCCACCAAGTACACATACTATAAAACTTAGCATCAAATAACAGGCTGTATAATACAAGGAAGTATACAACTGCCCTATGATTAACTTTATGAAAATGGTTTAGTTCAATAATTTTTTGACACAGGCTCATTATGCAGCCCATGCTAGCCCAAACTCTTGTCTTAGCCTCCCACCTATGACTACAGGAGTCCTGGCATCACAGGCATCCACCACCATGCCTAGCCATCCCTTGTGGGTATTGTATGTGTGGAGGTCAAAAGTTAAGTGTCTTCTACTATCAATCCCCACCTTACCTTTTGAGACCCCACATGATTCTCATTAGAACCAGAGAACAGCAAATGGCCACTAAGCTCCAGCAATGGCCTGTCTCTACCACTCCATCCCCCCACCCCGCCTTTCTGCTTGCAGACTGACACTTTAGTGACCACACCATCTCCACAGTCCTAGCCTCTTTTTTTTAAAGAATTTATCTATTACGTATACAGTGTTCTGCCTGCATGTGTCCTTGCAGACCAGAAGAGGGTGTCAGATCTCTTTAGAGATGGTTGTGAGCCACGCGGTTGCTAGGAAACCTGGAAGAACAGCCAATGTTCTTGACTGCTGAGTCATCTCTCCAGCCCCCCAAGCCTCACTTTAAAAGAAAAAAAAATTTAATCAGGATGCAGAGACAGCCAGATCTATGAATTCAAGGCCAGCCTGGTCTACAGAACCTACAGAACAAGTTCCAAGACATCCAGAGCTACAGAGTTTGATCCCAAGGACCCATTCACAGAAGGAAGGAGAAATCAACTTCCCCCAGGTTGCCTTCTGACTTCCACAAGTGTGCCATGGCATGATTGTTGGAAGCCAAGGGTATGGCTCAGCAGGTAAAAACACTTGGTGCACAAGACTGATGACCTGAGTTTAATCACTGGACTCCATGTAAGGTAGAAGGAGAGAATGAACTAGAGAGCTGTCCTTTGATCTCCACATGCACACTATGGAACACATACACCTCCATCATATACATACACATACACACCTCAACACACTAACAATACAAAAGCTGAGAAAAGGTATTAAAAACCACTTTCATGTTCTCAAAATACTATTATAATTATCCCCAAACACAATTTCCAGAACATACTGAAAACAGTATTAACTGTACAGGGGATGCTGCTGTTTATACCTTACCCCACAGTATCAATTCCAAATAATCATGTGGCCTGAGAGATAAGCAAAAAGACTTACTTAAAGAGTATTAACAAGCTTGTGTCTTTGTACTTCTGACCAGGGGTATCCACAAACTTCTTTGCAGACTGAATACTATCAAACACAGCAAATATTGACCCCTATAAAACAGAAAAAGATTTTCTTTAAAGTGATATTTTTCAACTAGAAAGTCTATATCAAATAATCATACCTTAAATGTTTTGTGCAATGTTCGTCTCATCTGAATATTCAGTATTTGACCTTTATCATCTAGCCATTCTTTTATGTCATCCAGGGTTGCATCAGTTGGGAAGCCTTTCTGTGAGAAATGGAAAAAAGTACAAACAATGATTCCTGGATAACAACTCTCCCTACAATAAATTCTAAATTATTCTGTTTTGAAGTGAAGCCAGAAATCTAAGTGTCGAACTTTCTGTCCCCTTTATTAATTGTTTAGCAACCTTATTCTCTAGTGCAATAAAGTGATTCACCTGAGATTTGTTCCAAAATAACCAGCTGGAGCAAAGACAAAACATTATTATACGTTAAGAACTGCTGAAGTTTGGCAATGGTACATTACACTATTCAATCTACTTCCTTGTGTCTAAAGCTTTCTATGTATTTAGAAATTTATGAATGAAATTAACCAATGAAAGTTACTGTAGAACTCAGCTACTAACAGGACAGGATCTAACATATGTAAATTAACAATGATAAAGTTTAGAAGTACACTTGCAAAAAACACAGTAATGGGCCAAACATGTCCTGAGCCTTTATCCTTATTCATTCCATGTATGTTCCTTCTAAATAAAAGTAACATGAAAGGCACTGAAGATTCACTTACAATATAAACAGATCTGTTTTTTACATCATTCTTATACTCGTCCGTCACTTCAGGAAGGGGTCTGCTTGGAGATCTTCTGATCTTAGTTCTGTCTGCACTCACTTCCATAAGCTTTGCCTTAGATTTGCCCAGTGCTTGGACAATTACATTAAAGTCTGTTGTCAGTCGGTTTAGCCTAGAGTACATACATAAAAACATTGTAAAAGCAGATATAGTAGTAGCTATCAACAGCAACAGCAAACTTAATGACTTTTTGAAGACTTTTGGGTTTATTAGCCTCAAAACTAACATAGTTCAATGATAGCACACGACCAAGTTCCTGGGTTTGATATCCAGAAATGGAAACAAACCAACAAAAAAGGTCTTACCTGTTGAATTTTATCATTGTGTCCAAAGGTACCCAGCCTTCATCCAATTTGATCTGTTCCTTTAAAAACTTGTCTCGTGGCAAATTGAAGTCTCCAAAATAATACTGTAATTATAATGTATTTCAGATGTTAAGAGCACTGTATAATGCTGAGTTCAATCAAATTTTTTTGAAAACTATTTTTTATACTACCAAGTTCTACTCTTTAAAAATGTATGTTAGAACTTAAGGGACCATAATAGAAGCACTTTTTCCTAAATAAACTATAACGAAATATATATAACACAAGAGAAAACTAAAATGCTGGTGAACCAGTATAATAAATGTGTTACTAGAATAGAAAGTATCAAATATAATTAAAGATCTAATAAAAACATTTCTTCCAGGTTGGAGCTATAGTTCAGTGGTTAAGAAAACCGACTGCTCTTCCAGAAGACCTGGGATCAATTCCCAGCAGCTAACTGTTTGTAACTCTAAGATCTGACACACTCACATAGACATACATGCAGGCAAAACATCAATGCATATAAAAGTAATTTAAATTATTAAAAAGATCAAAAAAACCTTCTCTTCCAGTCAATATGGAAAAAAGATTAAAAACTTGGGGTTAAATTCCTAGACTAAAAGAGAGGGGGAAAAAAGCATGACTACTTGGAATGTCAAAAGCAACATGAATGAAAAAGGTAAACATTTGTTAAGATTCTTGTCAGGCAGTGGTAACACACACCTTTAATCCCACTCTGGAGGCAGAGGCAGGGAAATCCCTGACTTTGTAGCCAACCTGGTCTACAGAGCAATTTCCAGGACAGTCAAGGCTACAAAGAAAAACCCTGTCTCAAAAAACAAAACAAAACAAAAAACTTATAAATTAAAAGAGAAGTCAGGTGTAGTGGTTCATGTCCATCATGTCCATCTCAGATTTAGTAATTTCCCTGAAGTTCTCCAACTTAAGAGATCCACCTACCTCTACTTCCCAAGGAGCTAGGATTAAAAATATGTATCACCATATCTAGTCACTTTTAAAAATTATATAACATGTAGCACAAACACAAAAAAAGTCACTCGACAGTGGTGGCACATGCCTTCACTCCCAGCACTTGGGCTGCAAAGGCAGGGAGACCTCTGATTTGGTAGCCAACCTGGTCTATGAGCAATTTCCAGGACAGTCAAGGCTACAAAGAGAAACCCTGTAACAAAAAAACAAAAACCCACAAAAGAAGTCTAACATTACTCACTAAAACCTAAACTAAAATGCCTTTAATTCCAGTGTAAGAAAGAAGAAATAGGTGGAATGAGTTTGGAACCAGACTGCTCTAAGAAGAAAATTTCAGGCCAGCAGACTAACTACTACATAGTGAGAGACTGTCTCAAAAATTAAACTAGAATAAAATGTACATAGTCTTTGTCAGTGTAGTGCCTCCTAGGAATTCCATCTAAAACCAGTAGAGGAGAGATGTCTTAGTGCTTAAGAGTGCTTGCTGCTCTTCCAGGACCTGAGTTAGGTTCCTAGCACTTTAGTCAATTGGCCAGGAGGAATGTAACTCCAGCTCCAGATTTGACACCTCTGACCTGAGGACCACATACCCACATGCAGACACAGACATGATTTAAAAAACAAAAAATAAAGTGGTGGTGCACACCTTTAAGCCTTTAATCTAAGCAATTGAGAAGAAGAGGCAAACGATCTCTGTGAGTTCGAGGCCAGCCTGGTCTATACAGTCCAGGACAGCCAAGGCTACTCAGAGAAACCCTGTCTTGAAAAACAAAACAAACAAAGCTGGATGTGGTGCTCATGCTCTTAATCTTGGCACTTGAGGGGCAGAGGTAAGATGATGATCTCTATGAGTTTGAGGCCAGTCTGGTCTACACAGTGATTTCCCAGGACAGCCAGGGATATATAGTGAGACCCTGCTCAGAAACAGGAGGAGGAAAAAGGGAAGAGAGCAGTAGACCTGTTTACTAAGATTTATATAAAGAATATCCACCATAGAACTGTTTTAGTTAAGAGATTCTATACATTAGAGAAGATGAATGGATTATTAATGGTGTATTATTGATGGCACAAAACTTTACTCCCTAAAAACGTACCTCATGTTTGGTGGGGGAGGAGAAAATTAAGTTATGTACCATTCTAATTGGGGATATTTGGGAAACCTCTGTCTTTAGGGAATTTTACTGTGAATTTCACGTTACTCTTAAATATAAAGTCTCCTCCCTTTAAAAAAAAATTATTTTAGGGGCTGGAGAGATGAACTTCAAGGTTAAGAGCACTGAATGATCTTCCACAGGACCAAAGTTCCATAGCCAGCATCCACATGGGGGCTCATAACCATCTATAATTCTAGTCCTAGGTGATCCAATGCCTATTTCTGGCTTCCATGGGCTCCAGGCATGCACATGGTGCACAGACATACATCAGATAAAACATCCATAAAATAAACTAAAAATAAAAACATTATTTTGAATATAAAGTGTGAAAAAAATTTTAAACCTGAGTATCTTTTCTATAACAATTTTGTTATTGTTCTAAGCATTAAACAGAGCAAATATCACTGGCTCTGTAATTAAAAACAAACAGCAGGGGCTAGAAAGATGACTTAGTGGCTAAAAGCACTGCCTGCTCTTCCAGAGGACCTTGGTTTAATTCTCAACTGATAGCTCATTAACTGTCTGTAACTCCCATCCCAAGGAATCTCATACCCTTGCACAGATATACATGCAGGCTATACACCAATGCACATAAAATAAAAATAATTAAACAAAAACAAAAACCACAATAAACAATGATTTTGTAACATGAACACAATTCACGGATATTTCCTATACAGCCATTATTGTTACTGACAACAATCTAAACGTAACGCCTAAATTTGAAATGCTAACAACTTTGAGAACACATACTTGGTTAAAGTTACACTAGCTTTTTGAAAAGAACTAATAGGACAAATTAAACTATTATTTGACAAGTACTTTACCTTGGAATTTTATGCTAGCTTTTATTAGATTAGGCACTTCATCAATTTTTCACATCATCTTACAAGTATTACTGCCTTTTACATTTTACAGACTTGGGAACTGAAATGGAGAAATGGTTATAAATAAAGCAACACTAGTTTTTAGTGTTACCTTTGGAATGTCTGTAATTTTTTTTAATTGTTTTGTTCCAACATAATATCTTTATTGATTATCTGGGAATTTCACATCATGTACCCCGATCAAACATACTTCCCAGTCCTCCCAGGCCTGACTCTCACCCTTATGACACGCCCCTCCCCACCTAAAAAAGGATAAAAAAGTCCAGTTTGTGTTACCCGTATACTAACTGGAGTACGGTCAAACTCCCAGTTGCCAGCCCCTTAAAGTAAACTGAGTCCTTGCCCACCTGCACCCCTGCCAGCAGAACCCATCAACTGTGAAGAGCTACACTTCAGTACCCTTATCACACTCTTTCCTTCCTTCCTTCCTTTTGATTTTTGTTTTGAGACAGGGTTTATCGTGTAACAGCCCTAGCTGTCCAGGCACTACTTTTGTAGACCAGGCTGGTCTTGAACTCACAGAGATCTACCTGCCTCTGCCTCACAAGTGTTGGGATTAAAGGTGTGCGCCACCACCACTCAGCCCTTATCACAATTTTTAAGAGTTCTCTTTAGTGGTTTTCTGTTTAGGCTATTTCTTTTCTTTTTTAGGGGATGGAGGAAAGGCTATAATTCTTGAGTTTCCTAACTTGGCCCCAATAATATAAATATATTTACATTAACTTCAAGAACCAAAACGAAGTCAAATGTTTAAATAAGTCCACTTATGGATATTTGATGTTTTGTTTTTCATCTTAAGGCCCCACATTTCTTTTGAAGGAATATATAATTTTGCAATTTAACAACATAAGAATCCTACCTCAATTTGATGACAGATTTTGGCCTCCAGAGCAGCCATTTTTTCATTATCTCCATTTTCAGCCATTGTGGCTATCTGTAAAAACTTCTCACACTGGAAGAAAAAGGTTATTATTATTTTTATTTATTTTTTTTTAGGTGTAAGCCATTTTATTAAGGCTCATCTCATGAGACAATCCATTAGGAGGAAAGGGGTCCCACAAACAGGCAAAAGAGTCAGAGACACCCCATTCACCCTGGTAGGAGTCCTACAGAAACACCCAGCTTACACACAACCATCGCTTATTTGCAGAGGACTATTATTTTTATATAAAATAGTCAAAACAAGAAAGAGAAGGATTAAAAACCAGTCTTTTATTAAATCTCAAGAATTTCTAATTTTACAGGTTGCTTCCCTATGAATTCCCATGTCTCTCAAAAAAGCAACACCTTGTATTATGGATGGAAAAATTAAAGGTCAACAACCTGCTATTCCTTTCAGTAAATCACACTTCCTATTCTATTTTGCTATTTTTTTCCCAACAATAGTAAATTTAATTGTGAATAAAGGAATGTATATCCTATGCAATGAAAGAACAAAATCCTAATCGTGATAAACAATTATAATGCTGTGTGATAAACTCTACAAGTAATTTTGGTTTAATGGAACATTAAGGAAAATATTTACCAAAGGTATTTTACAAAAAAAAAAAAAGACCTATTTTAGTGAAAAACACCAGGTTGAATGGAGTGATGGATCTTACTTCTGTTTTGTTACTGATTATTAGGCAGAGGCTTTCTTTTATTGGGATTATCTATATTGTTGGAAGTCATTTAAATGAGAAAAAAAACTCAAGATGTGGGGGTCTGTGTGAGAGTCAGTGTAAGCATATGGTCTGCCTTTATTTGAAATATATGATTGCCTTATATTTCACAAATACATGTTTGTTTTTATAATTTCCAATTAATCAAAAAAGATTTAATTTTTTTTACTGTTTTTACTGAGCTATATATTTTTCTCCACTCCCATCCCTTCCTATCCCCGCCCCCCATTCTCTCCCATGATTCCCACACTCCCAGTTTATTCAGGAGATCTTGTCTTTTTCTACTTCCCATGTACATCAGATCAACGTATGTCTCTCTTAGGGTCCTTGTTGTCTAGGTTCTCTGGGATTGCGAATTGTAGGCTGGTTTTTCTTTGCTTTATGTCTAAAAGCCACGTATGAGTACATAAGCTATTTGTCTTTCTGGGTCTGGGTTATCTCACTCTATTTTGTTGGCAAAGCAAGCTTCAGAGAGAAAAACTATCCACTTAACCACTTCTCAACCATATCTAGCTTTAAAAGATCAGAATTACAATCTGTCGACATGTTCTTATCGCTCTCAATGTTATTTGTTTGGCATAGTTGGCATTTCTTTTCAAATTAGTCACAGCTGACTTACCAAAACTCATTACTGGCAAAAAATGAAAAAAAAAAGGCAAAAAAAAAGTTAGATTCTATATAACAGAATATAAGAAAAATGGGAACTTGAGAGCATGGGTACACAAAAACTGTAAACTGGGGCGCTGGAGGGGAGGGTGTGCCTAACACACGAATACATTGGTTAACTCTATAGTCAGTTTCCTGCTTCGCGGCCTGACAGCAATCCTGGAATACGAGAGAGTGATACTGGTTTGCTAGAAATCACAAACCGGATATTCCGACTTACTAGCTCTCGGCGCTCTGCTCCATAAACCACCCAGCCGTACTGCACTACGCTGCACGAGCTCACCAAGACTCTCCGCAGCAGCGGGACAGAGCGACGAGCTGCTGCTCTTGGTGTTTTAGCGATATTGCTCAGAATGCTGGTTTATAACACGGAGACCACTGAAGGTCCTGTAAGGGGAACCCTACATGGTACGTATCCCATTTCAGACTTCACCGTCTCAGGAACCGGTTTGTCTCCCACCATCAACCACCGCATCACTACACAGAGACCTAAGTTCCTGTGCGAAGCAATGACAAAAACGACCTAGTTAGCTCCTGCAAGACTTCTGGGGCCTAAACAATTCTGGAATTGTTTTACAGATACTTCCAAAGAATTTTCACACAGAAGCAGCTTTGAAGGGGGTGGGGGTGGGGTGAGTGGCAATTAAAAAAACAAAAAAAAAAGCCCAAGACAGCGCCGCTGGGAGCATAACTGCAGCCCCCACTTCTTTGACCTCTTTCTTCCTCCAGTTGGTCACCACAGACCCCTGCAGCGTTTAACCGCAGCGGCCATCCCTGGTACTTAAAGGCAGCTCCGGAACATCCGCCTTCGGCCAGTAGGAAAGGGGTGCAGGTAACGAACCGAAAGGACGCCGTAAGGATGCGGCCAGCCTCTTCCCGGAGGCCCCTGCCACGTGGGAAGCCCCGGGCGCCCGCATCTGAGGCCGGGGCCCGATCCGCGGCCTCACCGAGGCCCGCGCCCCCTCGGGCCGCAGCCCGGCACACCGCCACGGGCCGCGCGGCGCGTACCACAGGAAGGCGAGGCCCGCGCGGAGCACAGCCCTCGGGAGCCGTCTCCTCAGCCTCCGAGAAGCTCACCTCAAAGACGCCGACCCCCACAGTCTCCACCGCTTCAAGAACAACGACGGAAGCGTCTCGACTTCCGAGCGCCCGTGGGCCAGCCAAACGCGCTTAAAGATGGGGGCTCTCCCGGCAGGCCTTGCGGGCGGGTGGGCGGGGCCGCGGGCGCGCTCGGCCGGCGCGACTCTCTGCGCGTGCGCCACAGCGGCGGCCTCCCACAATCCTTAGAGTTACGCCCTCTCGCTGGAGAAATTGTTAAATCGCCGGGCCGAATGTTGTGGGGGCGGGGGAATGGAGGAAGTCTGTTTGTGGAGCTCTATGTGTTTAGTATTTCTGAGGCTTTGTATAGTGTTTGAGACTTTTCTTTTTCAATATTTTTTTAGTTGTTGTTTTTGCGAAACAGGGTTTCCCTGTGTAGCCTGGCTGTCCTGGACTGTGTTCTTGTAGACCAGGCTGGTCTCGAACTAAGATCCACAGGCCTCCGCTTCCCCCTCCCACTACTGGGATCAAAAGCGTGTGCCTCCACGCTGTCGCTTTTCAGTAATTTTTATATATTTAAGTTGCATCGTGTTGTTCTGAAAAAAAACATACAGTTGCTTGGTTTCTGACAGGGTCTCTCTCAGAAGCACAAACCGGCCTGTAATTCGAAATCCCGCTTCAGTACAAGGTGCTGAGACAACAGATGTCACCTGGTTCTTTTTCCTCCTGCTGCTGCTGGCTTTAATTTGGGTTTGAGTCAGAGCCTCAGTGAGTAACCCAGGCTGATCCTAAACTATGCTTCTGCCTCCTGCCACCCTCGTACAAACAAAACAACTTTTAAAAATAGTTTTATGGGAGCCGTGAATTAAAAAAAAAAAAAAAACCAGTAGAACTATTTAGAATGGTTCAAGAGATTTCACGCTTGAATCGTGCCTGTATTCATCCGCTCGCTGCGAACTGTGTCCTTGGCAAATTATTCAATTTCTCTGTCCCTCAAGATAAAGTAGGGTCATCTAGTACAGAAGCCTTTGTTTTGCTGGATCCCTTCCCTCGTGGTACAATTTCTGCAAAACAATTTTAAGTTTTTAGAGATGTTATCTCCTATGACATAATCTTTTCTTTTCTTTTTTTTTTTAATATTTATTTATTATGTATACAATATTCTTTCTGTGTGTATGCCTGAAGGCCAGAAGAGGGCACCAGACCCCATCACAGATGGCTGTGAGCCACCATGTGGCTGCTGGGAATTGAACTCAGGACCTTTGGAAGAGCAGGCAATTCTCTTAACCGCTGAGCCATCTCTCCAGCCCCCGACATAATCTTTTCTTGTAATATAAAAACTATATTTTAAAATACAGCAAAGTATTTTTAACCTTCGATGGCGTGTCAAGATCTCTACATTTTAATAGTACAATAGTACTACAATAGTAGTATCCAACCTCTGAGGTACACCTACAGCTTAGTGAAACTGCCTACAGATGTGTAAAAATGTAGGGGGGGAGAAAAAAATCTATATGCATACCATCTCAAAGGGAAATATTTCCCAAGAAACCAAGAAAAATAATTTTAAAACTTTCTGGAGGAATTCCAGAGGAGCAGCTGGAAATACCTTTAGACTCAATTTAGAATATATTACAAAACCATTTGTAGGAAGAACAAATCTACGTAGCTTAAAATGTTGGGGAAAGTTATTATAAAGATGTTTCAGTAATTAAATAGTTAAAAATGGTTTGGTGGACTGGGGATGTGGATTCGTGGTAACTTTAATTCGTTATCCCCCTGGATTTTGTGCCTTTGTGGTGTTTATCTTGGTTGCTATTTACCTATTTATTATAAGCAAGTGTTCATCTTCCCTCTTGATTTTATATTCATAATTTGGGATTGTTTTCCCCAGAGGGCCTTCAAAATTGTAGTTTGCACTATGCCCCATAACTTCTAATATTATATGTTCAAATATGCATTAAATTAACACACACAAGTTAAACCTGAACAATAACAGGGCAATGAAATTAGAAAATGAAACATCCTTCCTAAAGTGGAAGGACAGCATGTATGTATTGAAGGATTTAAGAACAAAAGGGAAATTCTGGCCCATACTTTATCAGCCAAGAGGTGGGAAATTATTCTAGAAGCTAATTTACTTTAGGAAATCCACTAGGATGCAGACATTTCCCAGAATGGCAGTACAGAGAGCAGATGTGCAATCAAAGGGCCCTGGTCCAGGGGTCTCAGCCCACAGGTTGGAACCTCGCTTTGAGGACAGCGCCTCCTATGGGAAAGTAGCTTTAATCTTGGCTTACTATGTTGGGAAGGCAACCAAATCTACTGAGTACTGCTCAAACACAAAACTGAAGCAATAGATGAACTTGAAGGGACCATAGTAAATTTTGAAAGAATTTCAGGGGTCCTTCAAAGAACAAAACCAGATGAAGTATTACAATAATAAGCCATTTGTACACTCTAAAAAGAATTCTCAGAGAGAACTTGGAACTGCAAACTGTTTTTAACTTTTCTTTTTCTTTTCTGTTTTTTAAAAAAATGTGTATGTTGTCCCTGTTGACGTGAGTGAATGTGCGCATGTGTGAAGACTAGAAGACAGCCTCGGTATCATTCACTCCTCCTGAGGGCAGCATCCACTTCGTGCAAGAGACCTCAACAGGCTCTCTTATTGGGCCACGTTGTCAGTTAGAATAGACTGGATGGCTAGGGAGCCCCCGTGGTCCTCCTGTCTCTGCCTCCCCAGTCCTGAGATTACAAGATCAGGCCCCCACCCTCCTATTTTTACCTTAACTCAAGCCCTCATGCTTCTGCTGCAAAGCACTTAACCAACTAACCCAGCTTCCTGGCCCTTTTGTTTTTATTGTGAAGATTTTCAAGCATTTTTCCAAAGTGGAATGTATAAATAGTATAAGGCCCTGAGTGTCTATAACCCAGCTTGCGTGTCACTAGCCAATGACTACATCTTGTTCTATCTCTATGTTTCCTACTCCCCAGAGCCCTCTCTAGACTCTTTTAAGCCAAATGGCACACATCCTGATATATTCCACAAAATCTTATAACCATACACTTCAGAATAAGGATCCCTGTTTAAGTCACCATATTTACCTGTAATCCCAGCTCCTGGAAGGTCAAGGTAGGAAAACAGCAATTTTGAGCAGCTTGGGGTACATAGCAAGATCTTCACTCAAAAGAATAACATTTGAATTTGAAGTTATCATCAAATATTCAGTCGGTTTTCAAATTCTCGTTTTCTTGTAAATCTCTTTTCAGTTGTTTTATTCAAATCAAGATGCCAATATTTTTCGCATGTTGCCTTTGTCTTTTGAACTCAGAATTGAACCTTGAGCATCAAGCACACTTGGCCGTCACTCTACCATAGATATCTATACTCCTTCTTTGAAGCTTTGGGTTTATTTATTTAGAGACAGGTTCTCACAGTAGCTCTGTAGCCCTGGCTGGCCTGAAAGTCCCTATATAGACCAGGCTGGCCTCAAAGTCGCTGATCTCCTCTCTCCCCCTGGAGCACTAGGATTAAAGGTATATGCCCCCTTTTTTATTTTAAACGGGCTCACTAAGTTGCACAGGATGGTCTTGAGCTCGCACTGTAGCTTTGCAGTTTTGTCCCCCCTACCTCTGCCTCCAGGTGGTTGCAGCTATAAGCCTGCATCACCTGACCTGCTTACTAGTCCTCCTATATTTCTGTAATGCATAGGATCTTCCACTTTTCTTTCATTTACTTGTTAACGGACTCAGGTCCTGTTCCTATAGAATTTGTTGCACCCTGGATTTGCCTGGTTGTATCATGAGGTGTTATTTAAAATCAAAGGATTTGGCTGATTGTGTCATGAGGTGTTATTTAAAATCAAGTCTCAAGGCTTGGCACCATTTAGCCTGAGTATTTTGGCAAGAATAGTCCTTGCTACATTAGAAGGCACACAGTGTCTCTTTTTGGAAACTTACAATTGTCTCTCATGAAGGTGGCAAAATGGAGGTAGTCAGTCTGTCATTCCTGCTGCACTCATTAGCTGGAATTCTTCCGTACACCTAAAGAAGTTTACCACTTTCTTGAGTAGTTTCCCTTGATGCGTAGATACAGACGACAAATGTTTAATTCCCCCCCTCCACACACACACCAATTTTTAGAACGAGTTTCTTATTCTTCTGCTACAGAAACGAATTAATTTGACTGCAAGTGTAACAACCACGAGACTAGCACCATTTGAGGTGGCTGACCCCTGAGCCTCCTGAACAGAAATGCCCGATTACATCTGTGGGTTTCTCCCTGGCAAGGCAAGGCAGCGAGCAGCCAATCTCTCATACACTCCTAGCAGTCTTTTCCCATGGGGAATGGTCTTTCGAATTATTAGTACATTTTCACCTCTTTATTCTAATTTCAGAAGTTCGTTCTCTCCTTCCACCTTGTAGGTCCTGAGAGTAGAACTCAGGGGTTTGGGCTTGACAGCAGGTGCTGAGCCACCTCTCCGGCCCCCCCAAAATTTGGTCAATGTTGAAAAAGTGTCACAATCTATCACTTATATACAGATAATACATCCCAAGCCTGGAAATGAGAGCCCACGAGGCAGAAATCCAGGGTTTTAGTTGTGTACTGCACCTGTATAAGAAATAAGGGGGCACAGAAGGAATTTCAGATGCCAGGGAACATAATCTCATAACCAATAGCCAGAGCTCACGTTTCTGGAATGCAACTTTTTAAAAATTAATTCATTTTTGTTTTATTTTGTGCTTGTGTTTGTTTTTTGAGATGGGGTTTCGCTATGTGGCCCTGGCTGTTCTGGAACTCACTCTATAGACCAGACTGGCTTTGAACTCAGAGATCTGTCTGTCTTAGCCTCACAAGTGCTGGGAAACTGTAAATCGAGAGAAAAAAGGCTCTAGTTTCATGTGATAGGAGAGGAGAGTAGTAGCTTGCTAGAATGTGTTATGCTACAATCCTTCTGTGTCGCGTGTAAATTATGCTGTGATTGGTTTAGTAAAGAAGCTGACTGGCCAATAGCCAGACAGGATAAGGTTAAGCGGGAGAACCAAACTAAGGATGCTGGGAAGAAGGGAGGAGTCAGACGAGTTGCCAGGAGATACTGATAGGAAACAGGAGGTGCAAAATGAAAGATAGGTAACACCATGTGGCAGAATGTAAGTTAATATCA